TCCGTAAATAAATTATAAATTAGATATAAATACCTAGTCATTTTTATACACATTTGAATAAATATTCGAAAAAAAATTCTTGAAGATATTGGATACATATTATCTTTGGAGTTGTAAAAATGTATTTCATTATTTTATTCATTTTATGGAACTTGAACAGGTTGTTTAAATATTTAAATATTTAAATAGTAAACGGTCGTTAATGTATTTGGATTATTGACAATCTATTAATGCAAATAAAACTAATAACCATTTACCTACATTTAACCAAGCGACTTAAATGTTTAGAAAATAATCGATTTAAAGAATTTGATGGTGCAATATTTTAATGGGAGGATAGTTTTATGGTTTTCTTTTTAAATACAAATGCACACTTGCATCGTATTACTCTTTACGACAGTGAAATGTACAACCGGACATCATTTATTCATCGCAGTGCTAATTATTGGCAACACTATATATTGTATGTCATGTCCTTGTGTCTAGTGAAAGTAATACGTATCAAATTATACAACCCAAATTGTTCAAATTGGATCGTATTATTCGATTCATATTTTTAGCTGCTGATACATACTTCACTAAATAACTATCAAGTAGATATGTTTCGGGTATATTGAAGACTCTGTATGTATTACATGTCACGTGTAACTAATTTTAAAATAAGACCTCTTACAGTAAGAGTCTTACTGTTGAATAACAATATTGTTTCAATTGCATTCAGTTGTAAATATTTGAAATTTAATGTTCAATTTAAATTCATGGGGGTRCGTTTTGCAATAAAAAAATGTGATAAATGTGTGATCGTGGATCACATTAAAATCAAACATAATATTATATAATATTAATATTGGTAGGTTTATAATATTATTTATGTTTCTAAAATACAATTTTTAATAATTATCATAATATAGTGTGTAATAATAATACGATCTATTTATTTTTAGTGGTCCATGACTAAACTGAGAGACGTATATTTACGACGATACAATCTACGAAGAAGCGCTTTGGAATTTTTCTTAATGGACCAATCAAATTATTTTCTAAACTTTACAACAAAAGTATAACATACACAAATATATTACTAACTATTTATTAGCATTTTTATAAGTGTATATTGTTTTTTTTAATGATTTTAAGATTCGTTTGAAAGTATTGACTTCAATTTATAGCGTGCATCCACCTAATTTTTCATTTAATAGCAGTCGACACCCACAAGACCTTTTACGAAAGTCAGGTTGTACTCAGAAGTGGGTTAATAGAGAAATTTCAAACTTTGAATATCTAATGCAAGTAAGTATTACATTACTACTGTATACGTTAGTAGGTTTATCATAAATAATAATCAAATTTCTGATTTAACTAATAATTATTTTGTACGCCCAGCTGAACACTATAGCAGGYCGCACTTACAATGATCTGTCACAATACCCAGTATTCCCGTGGGTGTTAGCTGATTATAAATCTGAAGAACTAGATTTGAACAATCCAAAAACATTCAGAGACYTATCTCGACCCGTGGGCGTTGTGAATCCCAACAATGAGGCTGACGTACAAGCCAAGTATAGAAATTTTGAAGATCCAAACGGAGTTATTGGGAAATTTCATTATGGTACACACTATTCAAATTCTGCCGGTGTACTTCATTATTTAGTTAGGGTTGAACCGTTTACTTCTCTACATATCGAACTTCAAAGCGGAAGGTTAATTTTATTTATTTATAAATACAAAATTAGCTCACGTATTATTATTATAATATTGTTGTKACATAATCAATAAAAAAATAAAAAAATATCTAAAAATATTTTAGATTTGATGTAGCTGATCGACAGTTCCATTCAATCGCACAAACTTGGAAACTTTTAATGGATACACCAAATGATGTCAAAGAACTGATACCGGAATTTTTCTTTTTCCCAGAATTTTTAAAAAATATGAACAAGTATGTTTTTTTATACTCGTATTTTAATTTTTAAGTTAAAAAGAAATATTTAAAATATAAATATCATTAAAAACATCGATAAAGTAAAAGAAACTATATCAAAGTGGGTATTTTTACTAGTGGGTACTAAAATAATGAAGTTAAATTAATATTATTCCAAATAAATTATATTATAGATTTGATCTGGGTCGTTTACAATCATCTAAAACAAGGATCGGCGATGTTATACTCCCTCCTTGGGCAGACAGTCCGGAAGATTTCATTTACAAACACCGAAAGGCTTTGGAATCTGAATATGTGTCGAATCATCTTCACGAGTGGATTGATTTAATATTCGGATACAAGCAAAAAGGTCAAGCTGCTGTAGATGCTATGAATGTTTTCTATTACTGCAGGTGACTTTAACAACGTCAAATATATTTTCATAATCTATGTGTTCTAACGTGCAACACATAATGTGCTATTTAGTTACGAGGGAGCTGTTGATCTAGATGCGATTGTTGATCCGATAGAAAGAGAAGCCGTGGAAGGCATGATCAATAACTTTGGACAAACCCCGAGTCAATTGCTAAAAGAACCTCATCCGCTAAGACTGCCGTTAGATAAAGCGTTAGAAAAAATGATGAAATCGGACCACAAAAAGCCAGATCTTACAATGATGCTGTCAGAATTGTCCACATTTTACGTTGAGGTACCATTAATAGTTATTGTTCTAAACGTTGCGGCGATACCAAAAAAAATCCAATTTAGCGTTAACCGTAAAAACAATTCTTTGCTTATAGATAACAGACAGTAAACACCCAATGGTTTTTTTGAGTCCGCCTAGGTCGGGGACTAAAGGATTATTACAGACGTTCATGACTGACGATACTTTGGTAACAGTGTGTGATAACTCTTTGATCGGCAGACACTCGTGGTTGCCATACGACAGACATTCCAATAAGGGGTTCACGCTTGAAGTGGACCAATCGCACATTTTACTCAAGTAAATTATATTATTATTAATTATTAAGTATGCGTCTCGTTAGAATACGATAATAATGTTGATTGTTTTTGTTTTTCTCTATAACAGGGGCAAAAAAGACCCAAACGCATATCCAATGAGATCGTCCTCGTACCATCCGTCCATAGAAATGAATAGTCACTTGTTTGCCGTGTCACACGACGCCAAATATTTATTCACCGCTGGTCATTGGGACTATAGCGTAAAAACGTTCAGTTTCTCAAAAAACAAATACGTTTCGTCTGTCATAAGACATTTTGGTAAATATGTCACGAACGACTACTTAACCAGAGTATCTAGAACTGTAATACATAGATACGTATAGTTTTATAACCGATGTTTTGGTTTTTACTTTTCAGACGTTGTGACGTGCTTGGCACTAGACTCCTGCGGTTGGTATATGATAAGTGGCTCGAAGGATTGCACTTCAGTCGTGTGGGACGTTTCAAATGCTAACAACACGAATCCTAAACCATTCCAAACGCTTCTCGGACATGATTTGCCCGTCACCTGTGTGGCAATAGCTACGGAACTGGATATGGCCGTTTCTGGTTCACAAGATGGCACCGTTAATGTGTACAGCATACACCAAGGACTTTTGGTCCACTGTCTAACCCCTCTGGGATGCGTTTCCCCTCCGTCCATCATAACATTTGTGACAATTTCATTTCAAGGACATATCGCTTTTTCGTCCAAAGATAAAGTATGTATTTATTTATCGAAGTTTGTTTGTAAATGTACTTACGTSTCGTCTTATTGGTACATCCACATATTTTAATCATTCAAAATACATTTTTATTGCTTTAATTATTTTTAGAAAAACCATTCCGTCCATATATTCAGCTGCAACGGAGACAATTTAGGTTCAAAATACGTTGCAGCTCAAGTGACTGGTATTACAACTATAAGTGACTGTTTAGTGGTGGTCGACGATGCAGGAGATCTAACGCTAAGCAGACTATTAGGGTAAGTATTAGGAATGCTTAAAATTACTTAGTAGTTTAGATTAAAATGTAATGCCTTTAAGAATATACAAATTATTACATACCAGCACATACTGAACATACCGTTCAGTTTCAATTTCAATTTCTGTAGCAAATAAGTATTTAAGTTGTAATTTAATTAATAATTTAATATATATTGAATTAAAAAATAAATATATAAACATTATTGATATATATATTTTTGTTAGAAATAGGATGCTCTCATCTCGAGATGCGAATAGGGGTGTAATATCTGCACATACGATTGTTTTTACCATGTAAAATATATTATAAAGCAATGAAATTAGGTATATAGTCAAAAATGTATTTTCCTCTTTAAAAAAAGCTATGCAGGAAGTTTTCATGTTACCAAAATTAAAAATATTTGCTTTTAACTATATTACCTTGAAAATATTTTTTTAAATTCTAAAAGTGTTTTAAGTGGAATAATAGTTGGTGCAGTTCAGAAATCGTTTTTAAGGAGTTAAATATAGGCAGTTATATTGACATTTTGAGAAAGTTAAAGTTAGTCAAAGTGGGCTGTAGCGTGCCATATTTTAAGGAGTAATATTTAGGCATTTCATGATATAGTATTTATATTTGAGCTGTATCACCGTATGAGGTGTAAATTAATCTTATAGTGTGTGGAATTCTTAAAATTCGTTATTAAGTACCGGACACCAACGGCTCATCGCCCGCATATACATTTTCGCATTCACAGGCATATCCAATAATACAGATTTTATGAAATATGCCATACTATTCACAAAATAAATGAAAAAAATTTCTAAAAACTAGACTAAATTAAGAGATTTGAATTCAGTAGATTTAAATTTTGAAAATGGAAAATGGATATTAATTAGTCATTGGATTGGTTGGAAATGGTCGAAAAAATTATATTTATTAAAATTGTTCGATAAAATATCAACAATTAAAATAATTATAAGAATTCTGAAATTTTAAATGTTTAAGTACGTCATTAATATTTGTTATGATGATTAATTTCTACTTAATTCMATGCTTTAGTAGAGTCGTTGAAGGTGTACAATTAGTTTCAAAATTAAAATCCGTCAAACACAAGTACTACAATTGTGTCTTGCTATTGGACTGTTTAATTTGATTATTTGTACCTGCTCTAGCTCCCTTTATAAACTAGGTATATTGTAATTGGTAGTTACTAGTTGCTATTTTGGTATAATTAAAGTAATYAATTACATAATACAACAGATTTTGGTAATCGTACAATTACAACATTTTAATTTCTGGTATTGTATCTCGAAATCAAGAAGTAGTTATTTCTGCAGCATTGTATACTTGTAACTCTTGTATTATTGCAGCAATCACATCGCACAACATAATCTTTGATAATTTGAATAAAAAATGTTTATTTAATTAAAATGTTATTAAAGCATTATCAACAGTTCTACGATTTTTGAAACCGTGTCCATAACAATAGTAGTACATTTAAAAGAGTTTAGGAAATATAAATATAACATAATGTGATTAAGTAATAAAGTATATTGACAATTACTTATGATACTACTTAATTGGTAAGCAATAGGCAACGCTCCTGTGTAGCCTCTTGTTTCCAACTTTTTTGAGCGACACAATTCTAGTAGTGACAACATTTGAGAACGATACACCTCAAGTCTCGTTTTTCCAGTTTAACGTAAACTCATATTAATTACTCATAACTGAACGAAAACTTGGTGCTTTTTACTATAAATATATATAATTATACCTAACATTTTTAGATGACTTAAAAATCTACCGTGGAATAAGCAATGACTCTGACAGTATTTTCAGTGAGCTTAACGCCGTTGACAAATGATTTGATTCTATTGGTTTATATTTGAATGTGGTCAAATGCCAGTTCACGTAATTCACTCGATGCCGTTCTTTAACTGTCCACACTTACTCGATGAACAATATAGCTATACCATCGGTCAACTGTAAAAAAGACCTAAATGTCCTCTTATCCTCAGACCTTAGTTATCATTATCACACTCTATCAATAAATTACAAAGTATACAAAAACCCTAATGTTCACAAAATGGATATCGTCCGACTACTTCAATCTCACCTCTCCAATTAAGGCTCTTTATTGCTCGCTGTTATAATTCGGAACTTTGGTTGAGTACGGATCAGGCTTGTGGGACCCCCACACAGATTCAGATTCAGCTACAGTAAAGCGAGTCGAACGTTTTCTATCCTACACCAGTTATATACTAAATATTCCCCAGCCCTTATATGACTATTCTCCAGTTCTGGCTGATAGGAAAATAAGCAGCAACATAAGGTTCCTTCAAATTCGTATTGGTAGTTCTGTTGATGCCCCATCATGCTCCTTTCCCTTATTAACTTTTGTGTCCCTCAACRTCCAACCCGCTATATAGTTCCATTTTCGATTTCAAAATGCTCTACTAATCACAGCTGGAATAATTCAATTGACCAATTTATGTGTCTAGCCAACAAACCCTCTCAATTTCTGTTGTAATCTGGCTACCTAGTTCCGTCTCATTCCGTTAGTATCCAATTGAACTCGTATTATCTGTTGTATAAATATATACATTTAATATAAGTAATACTCGTATTATTTGATTAAAAAAAAAAAAAATTGTTTTCTATTATTTTCACGAAAACCGTCGAACTTTTATTACAGTCTGCATCCAGTCTACGACGTCCCTCTGCACATTCCGATCCAAACGGTGGTGGCGACGCCAGGCAACACGCACTTGTTGGCGCCGCTGAGAGACGGAAAAATCGCCGTCATCGGATTGCCAAATTCAAACAATAATTGATCATCGTCGCAACATCTCTTCTCGTTCGATTCCGTTCAAACTMAAACATAATATCGTTTTTATTATAGACATTTTATTCTTGTTGTATTAAACGTTAGCTCGTTATTAGTTTTAGAATTTATTAACAATTTGTATCCATTATTTTATTATTATGATATAGGAATAAACTTAATAATATTATATTATAAGACATATATAAGTGTAATCGATTTGCCAAATATTATATAGATAAAAACGTATTTCCTAAATTATATTGCTCATATTATGTAAATACTACATATTATTATTATATGTTCGATGGTGATTTATTCAATTTTTTTCTTAGGTGCTAATATCAATATTAACAACTATCATCAATAATTATAACATTTATATAAATTATTATTTACTACATTTAATTCTTATTCTTATAATCTAGTTGGGTATATGGTTCAAAATTTATACTGAATAATTATATTATTATATCATTATTTGTTAGTGTATTGTTACGTAGATATTGTTATTGTGATTTAATTATTGTACTATTTATTSTAATTCGATTATTATTTATTAAGTATTAAATTTAAAATATAATTTTCTTCGAAATTGTGTTGTGTATACATTTTATAATTATTCTAATATTTACCCATCCTTTCACCTAATGGTTTATACATCTTTTAAATGAACCCTTTTTTTAACTATTAAAACTATTATATAAATATATTGATCTATAAAATGTTAAAATACCTCATTTTTCTTTAACCCATGGAACGTTATATGTCTATTTGTCTATTTTGATTGGCTATAGGTACCCGTCATTTGTGTTTTAGGATTGTTGAATGTTAAATATATCTGAGATATTAGCCGTTTATATTGTGACCCTTCGTACTGACAAAAAAAAAAAAAACCGCGCAACTCCAATTGTGAATACGATTATAAGGCCCCAGTGATAGGAGGTACGCGCTGTCCTTGATTATCAATTGAAGCAGAATTTTGTACCGAACCTCCATTTCCCGGTTGCACTTGACCATTTTCAAATGAATGAACGATAAAATTTATCTCACCTATATCTCCGCAAACGATTAAGATATCCCTACCTTCCACGGTACCTGATGACCAATAATAATATAGTTAATSATTCCAAAAGGCATTAATTATTTTTAATTAATTCAACCACATTAATTATCTACACAAATATTACTTTAAAATACTGAAACATTGAGTAAAATAAGTGTGTTTAAAAATAGTATTATTATTATTTTATACTGTATGAAAGTAAGAATATTAAAATTATTTGATGCTAATAATATTTAATGTATTTACTTATTGTCAATGAAAAATATTATAATATGAATTTGATTGCTATGTTAGTTATGATAGTTATATTTTTGTCCAGATGTAAACATGATGATACATTTTTAGTTATTATCTTATTTATTAATTAGGTTCAAAATTCGAACGAATTCATTCAATTTTAATAATCATTTTCTATGAGATATAAAAACAATTTGTTTTATTGAHCATTTCATCAATAATCTTTATTAGTTACCTATCACCACTCAAAAATAGGTAGTTAAAGTATTACAAACGTTATGGTTTTTATTTTGAAAAACTATAATTCAAAATGCATTATAAAACTAACTATTTTATTCTAATTATAAATTAAATTAAAATGCTAAAATTTGTTTAATAAAATCTCTTACTATCATACTATTCATACTATAGAATAAAAAAATATTGCTTATATTTTATATGTTGTAGACATAGATACTAATTGGTGAACATTTTTAAATAATTTTAAGCTTATATAATTGCTTAAAATAAACATCCCGGAATCAAGAACATAATATTATGTTTTTATCGTTGTTATTTAAATGTAATTTAATATTTTAATTCACCTATGCACTATTAATAATAAATTACAATGGTACAAATTTATTATGACCTTTAAAATAAACAGTTAAAGTTAATTAATTGTGTTGAATATCGTTATGATGATCAGATACGCTGCGATTTATCTTGCGATACACTGTACAAACCATTGATTTCACAATTCGGAATAAAGTCGTTACCCGTACGATCAACAATCCAGCGTAATGAATTAAAGTTATCACGTGTTATCAGAATAGTAACAATAATCATAGAAATTATTATAGGAGTCCATTATTTTACGCTTAGAGTGGGGAGATCCTTTGGGATGAATGGAAGCATAATATTTTGTACAACTAGTATATATTCTAAATTCTGTTGGTGTACGTCGTGAAATTTGTTTATAGTGCTCACTAATTTACTTTCGTCGGTCTTAAATCAATACATAGAAATAGAAATATTTTAAAACAACAAAAATGATAAAATGTCTTAAGTCGTTACTATCGTCGTTTGAATAAATTAGTTCCTTTTTTCGGAAGAATAAGTAGACAGATATACGATCCAGGGAAATGACCAAAAAGTATGTTGTTATCATATATTATTATTATAGTGTACATAATATAAGGTTTAACGTATGCTGGAAAATTAATTTATTATTGAATAGCTTTAATTATAAGGAAAATTAAAAATTTATTTGCAATTTATTTTTATGAAATATGACAGAATGTCAAAAATAACTTCAGAAGAAAAATACGATATAAATTTAAAAAATAAACATGCAATAGCTTTGTTTTCACCTACATACAAACTAATACCTAAAATATTATTGCTAAGCAAGTAATTACGAATAACAATACGAATCCATAAAGTACTTTTTTATAAATTTAAAGTCAATTAAAAAATTCGATAAAATGTCATGTTAATTTTAATACACAATATAGCTTAACTACTGATTTTAATTTGCTATTTCAAAATATTTAACTAATATTATTATAGTGATTCAAAATAGAAACATTAAAATTCAGAATTTATCACCATACATTCATTTGTATCCAATTATTACCTAACAATTAATATATGGTATATGGTTCCATAAGGATTTATTGCATACAACTTGATCAATATTTTTTCCCATTAAAATATTAGCTGATAAATCATAATTAAATAAAAAGCTTCACTCAGAATATAATAAGGCATGCAGGATACAAATAATGTGTGAAAATTCCTTGCTTAAGGATAAGTGTTGTGCTATAAACATTTAAAAATCCATAAAAATAATTCTTAAATCACCAATAAAGAACTGATTGTAAAAATATGAGATTAAACTTCTTCCTTCGAAAATAAGACACTGAGTGTAATTATTGTATTTAATAACGTTTTTAAATGTTAACAATTTATTGAATCGAAAAATTTTCAATACATTTACTTATATTAAAGTTAATACTAATTAATTTTAATATTTATATTTTAAGAAGTTAAAAGCTATAAATTAAGAGTACTACGTAATGCCCACTTGTGCGTTTGTTTTTATTTTATACAAATACAAAACATAGCAAATCGTATGTTCTTTATAACCAATTTTAACTGTGTTATTATTTAAATAAGATTAAAAAATTTTAATGTAAAATTGAAAGGTAAGACTATAATTTAGGGCTCCGCATAGGTTTTTAAAGATTTTAATTTTAAAGAATCAGTAATGAACATTTAATAAACATTCATTTTTGTAAAATTTTAAATGCTCAAACTTGCTTTAACATTAAGGTACAAAACATATCGTACGTAGGTATGATAAAATGAATAAAATGGTTGGCTTTAATATTTTATAGTAGTTCAATTCTCTCTAATGTCAAAATTAGTTAGTAAATGAGTTTATACTGAACATACATATAGTTTGTAATGAAATCTGGTTGTAAAGACAAACGTGGAGATCCGTCCTATCGTATTATAAAGCAAGACAGTGCATTGACGAGTTAATAAGTTAAAGTCAAATTAATTCAAGTGTTGAACTAGTTACTTTTGTTTCTATTAATTTAACTTAATTGAATAAACACTAACATCATAAAAAAAAGTAGTTGATTTAGAGTTTTATCCCAGTTAAGTTACTTTTTTAAATTTATGTTAGAATTTCTAAGAAAAAGTTCACCCGAAAGTCATGTTCTAGTGTCACTGTCAGCTAAATAAAGCTATATGGGTTAAGAGATTAACATATGTTAATAAGTTGATATTTTTTATTACCTACATCTTCCTATAAAAATGTTATTAAAAAACGCTCATTCAACAATTGTTGTATTAAAATTTAAAACCAAAGATGGAAAAATAACATTACAACATTTGAAAATGATATTAATATTATCATTATAAATGTTTGATTAAACTTATGTAATTAATAATAGTGTCATTGGGTAAAAAAATTAAAACCTGTTTATGAAAAATAAAAGTGTTAAAGTCTTGTTTTACGTGGTTTACACCACTTCACGGCATCTGATAGCTATATATGGTACATTATTTAACTTATAACCATTTTCATATCAACTTTAAATTGAAAGACATTAATCTAAAAAAAATAATATATCTGTATATACAAGTACTGTTGTAACAATGACTAAAAATGTTTCAAWATTACATTATTACATATAAATAGTACATCAAACTATACTAACATAACTATTATATAGGTACTATAATTGTTGAACTTTTTATATATTTAATATTATTATAAACCAAAACGTGTATTACTTGCTTTCATTAAAAACAATTTCAATACAATTTGTAAATAAAGTATGTAGCACAAAATGTACTTTTTTTAAATTAAAAATCATGATGATAAAATTATTTTAATCGTTATAGATTTGCATATAGTTTCAAATTACATTTCCATGATCATGATAACCTATTTTACTTTTTTAATGTTTGCTGTCCTTTACTAGGAATTGTGAGTTTCTAGAAATAAATTAAAGATAATCATAGTATAAAGGAAAATGGTGATAATATATTTCTATAAAACAGCAATTTGCAATGAGAGACCGTTAAATAAGATTACTGCGATCGCGGAAATGTAATTGAACTCTAATAATTTTAAAAGTCACAATACTCCGAAACATAAATTATGTTGTAGGGTMATCATGTATTTATAACGTGACCATACGTACCGATTTGGGTACTTGTGGTAGGTATTTATTGATCACATATTACAATCATACATTTAAACTGTACCTATACAGTTAACAGTATATGTATATCTACATATTTTACATATACTGTAAAACAGTAAAATACATCTGATCTATCATCTATGATTGTTGGGAGTCTATTGTTATTAATATGTTATCTGCGTTTTTCTGTTGTCACTTTTATAGAAACAATTATTAATGTTTTTTTTTCAATAAAAAAATTTGTATATTACGCAAAATTATATGGTTTTCTTATTAAAATGTAGAGGTGTCCCGCTTTGAAGAAAAAAAATTATGGTCACGTTATGTATTCATTAATATTTAATATGAATTTTATATCAATCCCGTGGGTAATGAATGAAAAACATCTTGGACATTAAATACAAGTATTTGAAGACAAAACATAACTATAACTAGGTATATACATATTGCTGAATACAAATATCAAAATGTAATGTACACAATTTGATAGGAGAATATCAGTATGTGATTTTTGTTGTATAAATATTTTAAATTGTCAGTAATAAATGTAAATTATTTGTATCAATGGTGGGATGGAAAAATGAATAGATATAAAATATTAAAATATTGTATTTGTATAGGTACCTTATATAGGATGATTATTTTTACAGTCACAACAGATCATTATAAAGGAATAATTTTTTTAAATTTTTTTATAAACATTTACATACCTATATTTTTATTTAACTTTCGAATTATTTCACAAATAATATTAATATACATAAAAATAAATTTCAAACAAGTAGTTAATTAGGTAATCAAAATTTTTAGAAATATATAATTAATAATGTTTGTGATTCAAAAAATGGTAAAACTTACAAAATATATTATAATGATCAAAACTAAAACAATTCTATAATTTTTAAACTTTAAATTATAAAATTTAAAAACCGTTGATAGTTCAACATGATTGTTCATTGTTAATATTATCAAACAGGATATTTGGTACCTACATAATCTCGGTAATCTGCCAAGGAACAAACATTTCTAGTTAAAAATTGTTTAAAATTATATTTTGTGTTAGCGAACTATTTCAGTAGCAGGAGATYGTTTCAAATCGCCCAAGACTGAAAATTGAGCAATTTTTTTTTTAATTGAAAAATTTTAATTTGTTGTCATGCCTCTGTTGCCTCCATAAAAAAACGTATATGTGTTAATCTCTATTCATGTAATGAAAATCCATAATAAACTGTTCTTTGCTATTCTTGATATCTAGATTCACCAAACTGTTTTTAAAAACCACATGGAAAAAGGATTACTCTTTAAATCTGATTTGAACAGTAGCTAGAGATTTTCACTTTACCGCCCACTGGTCAGAAAAAAACAAACTTATTGTCAGCATTTTCCAACTTAAATCAAACTTCAGAGCAATAAACATGACAACAAATAAATCAATGTTTTGTCAATTTAAGTGACAAGTACCATACATGATTTTCTATTCAATCAATTATTATTTATAAGTTAACTGAAAGTTCATCTTCCTTACCTAATTATTTTAATAAATAAATTAGAAATTAAAATATTTGTGCTAAAAAATTATACCTATTCAAATATTTCATAACGAAAGTAGAATTTATTAAATACAGTCAGAATTTTATTTTTATCGAAATTAAAAATTATTTTTATCTATAGATATATCTATTTTAATAAAATAGACAACATGATATTTATTGTTTTATCTAAGTTTTAAGGAACTAATTATCTATGATAATTATACTATGATTATCTTACACAAAAAAAGAGTATTACATGTTATATTCAGTTTTTCGTGATTTTTACTGTACGTGTGCAATAGAAAAATTAACATTTCATAGACCTGAAATTAGACCTTATAATGCATAAGTATTAATCATGTTCCTTAAAAATTCAAAATATTTATCTAAAATATAATTAATATTTTTATCAAATWATTAATATTTTAAAATTTTAAATGGTTCATACAAGAAACTATAGCTCGCCTGGGAATCATCATATTATTTTAAACTCACACAAAGCTCTCAAAACAGAAAGTTATTAATTATTTACTGTGTTTTGATTAATATCGGAAAACCAATTTGATTCCATAAATGTGTCAAATCATTCGTTACTAACCACAGTCATTATTAGCAGCTACACAATATATCAAGATTTAATAGGTACGCAATAGAAAAACAGCAATTTATCAGCTTTTTATCAAATATTTGCTCGAATAGGTATGCATAAAAATAACGAAATATGCGAAAAAACAAATAATGAACTTAAACTCGGTTATTTCCTGTTTCAAAACATATCATAATAAAATACACCTAAACAGTTGAACCGGCAAAACTAGGTACATTTAGAGATAAATAAAAAACGGTGACAGTGGCATATTTATCTTTACTGTATGTCTATAATTGTCTATAGGTATTATTCAATTTTAAACTATGCTTGTCTACCTATCTACATGACAAATTAATGATAACAACATTTCGAGCGTAACATTTAAATATAGGTACACTTGATATATATATATATGTATAACGTATAAGACATAAGTATAATACTACCATTAGTACCTAATGTGTTTTAATTAATATTAAATAAACCAAAGCGATAATTTTACCGTAGCAAATGTATATTATATAAAATATTTAATTATTATGCATCACATACCTAATAGCTAACCTAATAATTACTATTATAACATGGTAGGTATATAATTAGTGTAAGTATACATTGTTATCAATACGTGGACTTTATGAACTCCGRAGATGCAAATTTAAAAGTCCAATAAATATTTTTATGAATATCATATATACATATAATAGTACCTATATAATATGATGTTAATGTTTATTGACTATAATTGTTATTTTATTATCGGAGGAAAAAACTAAATACCTAAACGAATCGCATTTAACATAAATTATTCCCTAAACTTTAACCTTATCTTTCTGATACAATTATTTAGAGATAAATTAACAATTTTGTTGTATTATTAAAAACGATATTTTGTATATAAACAATTAGTACCTGTTATGCTTATGACAACAAAATAAGTCGTAACTAAATAATTTTTTTTCTTGTAATTTATGATACGGACCCTACTGTATAACCATTATAATCTATTAATTAATTTCCATACCAATTTTAACAAGTTATTGACAATTAAATTAGTTTCATACATATAATTCTACCTAACTATAGTCTATATAAGTTATAATAACAATGTAATATTATAATTAAGAATAACCAATTTAAAAATAATAACATTCAAATATTCTATACGAGTATACTGTATACTATAAAATTATCAATTTAGATGTCTAGTCTCATTTTAAGTATTAAATGTTTGATCTATTTTTTTAAATGATTTTACGTTTTTTTTTTCTTTTTTTCCCTTTTGTATCGAGAGCCAAAATAATTTTACGTTAAATTAAAACAAAGTTTTAAAAAACATAATTTTTTTTATTGTTTTAAATTACTTTTATGATTAAAATTTTTAAGTTTCTTATTTTCTAAATGGCGAAATATATTTTAAATTTCATGTTCCAAAGCAGTATAATTTTTGAAATGCACATCCATTCAAAGTCTTATTATTAAAATAAATTGTTGTAAATTGTAAATTGTTAGGCAAACGATTTTTTTGAAAGTGCTATTCTTCTAAATCGTTATAGGTATGTCGTATGTATAAATAGTTAATAGTTACTAGTTACTGATTTATTGTCATTATACATTATAATAAATAGTTTTATATAAAATAAGCCTAGCATATATTATACCTATTTYGACATTTTTTATAAATAGTAAAATTTTAATTTATTTATAATGATTAGTAATCAATAATCATTATAACTTTCCAATCATCATAACCCCATATCTTAAAACCTATAATCATCATTATGATCATACATAATACATGGTACATGATACATAATAACTAAAATATATAATAATTATTAATTACTACAGAAGTAAGCAATTACCAATTTGAATTTTGATTTATATGCATAAACATTTTCCAAAAATTATCTCCAATTTATAATAATAACGTTAAATATTATAGAGAGATTCAGTCCTTTCACATAAAAGTATAAAACATATTATCATATTTTATGTTTACTTTATGCATTATGGTTTTATTATTCTAATTAATTGCCTTGCTATTAAAAATAATAACAAGCTTTTTACGTTTCAGTTTCAATCACTCTTATCGATTCCAAGATTTTTAAGCTTTTTACATCGGATTTGTAGGTATTTCACTTTAATTGCATAATAATATCCATTATTAAGCTAATAACCTTGTAGTTGATGCTGTAACAATAAAAAAATAAAAAAATCCATTATACATATTTAATCGATGTTAGTTATAGAACAGATAATTATTTATGTCCATAGAACTGACATGGGTTTTAAGAACTGATATTATACTGTTAAGAAACAGCAAAARCAATTTTAAACTTTTATTATACTATTGTATCATGTGATTGAAATATATATTTTTTCATTCATGGTATATCTTCAACTACTTATGTCATTAGCTTAGATGATTCATACTTAATTAGACAATTAATTAAAAAATACAAGTTTCATTTTGATTGGTATATATGGATTTTGGGTGATTATTGCAAAAAAGGTTACAAAATGTTTTTAGTCTCAATCTTATTATCCACCTTTACGATACACTGTCATCATCTTTTGTGGCAGTAAAAATGCTTCAATTTTTTTTTAACAATGTCTTTTCTGATAGAAAAATGAATCTCATTTGTACTTTAAGGAGTCAAAAGTCAAAAATTTACAATAGTTTTCAAAAGCGACCGAAAAACATAAATTTTTACGCTAAACCGGTTTTCGACAACATTTTTGTTTTGKTGTAACTCTAAAACAAATGACCGTAGGTATATCCAATTTTCACTGAATATTTATATTAAAATTTTCGATACGCTATAAAATTTTCAAAATGTTTTGACTTTATATGAACTGTATATGGTCGTATGGAGATTTTCTGATTTTCCGTTTCCAAATACTTTAGCTTTTGTCTATAAAATATCAATCTTATTTCAATCGTCGGTAAAAAGCTTGTAAATTTAATACAAGACTTCTACCATATTGTTACAATGTCAGTTGAAGATATTAAAAATACATCCTCATAATGATTTTTTTTTATAAAAATTTAAAGTTTGAATTTTGACAAAATACGTCGAAATCTCAAAAATGTGTAAATTATTTTGAGTTAGTAATTCATAAAAAAWTTTTTTTTTATATCTAACATTTGAAAATTTAAAACAAGATTCTCTATAAGTTTTTCTACTTTAAAAAAAAAAAATAATATGTACAAGAAAGTCAAATTAAATTTTTAGAAATGACTTAATTTCAAATTTTTACATTGGTTATTCACTCGATTTCTCATACAACTTTTTTCTTATTTTGTTTTTAATTAAAAACTTTTAACCGTAAGTAACAAAAATTGTCACTAAATGTTCACTTTATCATTTTCTTTATTAAATGATAAAATTTAAAAAATATTTCAACTGTTTTAAGTTATTTATACACATTTTTAATTTTCAATTTTGGTTTTTTATTCTATAAATTTCAGTAAAATTGTATATGTTGCTCAAAAATCTAGAATTTTAATAAAAGGTTCCCCATATGTTTATATCATATCAATTGTAAAATATTAAAAATACATAGGCACGTTTGTTTTTATATAAATAACCGTTTAAATTTCAAGTTTTGATAAAATGTATTAAATTGAAAATATATAAATTATTGAGTTTAGATATCGTGCACTGACAAACCGTCTCCGCTCAGAATCATTTTTCGTATACAATGATATTATATCATAGAATTCAAATTTAATACCATCCATTACAGTGACCCACTCTACATCAGAGTGATGTCCACTTAACCGCTTTTTTAAATAATAATGCTGTTTTTTATTTTTTGAAAAAATCAGTAGATGGATCGACACGTGTCGACTTCGATGGTATCCATGTTATATGCAAAATATGATACATTAAAATCAGCCTTGTTTAAAAAGGTAATTTATTAATGATGATGCGTTACTCTACGCGATACTTTTGAAAGCAAAAATACATTTTAACATATTAACATACACATTATAGGTAGCAATTTAATCTTGTGGAAAGAAATAATATTATTATATTAGATAATGATAGATTATATTAATATCTTTTTCTGATTAAATAATGGTTCTTGGTCTACAAAATATTTTCTAATAAATATTAAACAAATAATAATAGTAATACAAATCCTACTCGTATATTACCACATTATAAAAGGTAACCATCTAAATTTTATTTAAAATTATTATTAATATTTAAATGTATTTTGTTTATTTGTTTAATATTATATATCTACATTTATTATTTTTATTATCATTATAGAATGATCGACATCGACCGATTATTAGAAGAGGTGGGCGAATTTGGAAAATATCAAAAACTAAATATATTTTATCTCGGACTATCGTTACTATTCACGGCGTCGTCCACCATGGCATTCGTGTTCACCACGGGAGACATGAACTACAGGTTTTTTGTTTTGTTTCAGTCCAAAATAACATCACCCTTACCAGCTTTAAGCGGATACATCCAATATTTATTTTTTTAATTTCCCATTAATTCCTTGTAATTAATACACAACTTAATTAATAAATAATATATTTAATTTTCAGCGAGTGAAATCACTCTAARCATTATCAAAATTTGACATTTCATTTCCGTTACACTAATCTTATTTTGTATCAGTGCTTGAAACAGATGGAAATTGATGCACATAAGTACTGATATTTAAGTTAACTTTTAAATAAGTATGGTTTTAAAGGGTGTAAAGTGAATGCTGCACTTTCAACTCTACTCAAGTAAAAACAAAACATTTATTAAGTATTCAAAAACACAAATCAGACGACCTACTTTTATTCTATATTTTAAAATTAGAAGCTATAAATGACCTCCGGGATTAAAAATGTCAATTTTCATGTTTCAAGTAATTTTGCTTGCTGAATAAATAAATAAAATCTAAATCACCTCTATTATACTATAATGGTTTTTTCTTAAATTATAATTACATTGATTAAAAGGAAAATAAAACTTTTTAGAATGATAGGATATTCCCCTTAAAATATGATCATTGTGATGATTTCGCTTTTTTTTTCCTACCGTGTATAGATGTTTGATAAATGAATGCGATGTTTCCGAGACAGCATTCGAATACTGGCCATCGTGGCTGAACCGAACCATTCCATTTGACGATGACGACCACCGGTTGTCTAAGTGTTTGCGGTATGCGTCAAATAACAATCCGTATAACACTGACGCTAACCTAACCGACAGACGAGTCTTCCGATGTGACGATAGTGATTTCAACAAGTCTTCGACTGTGCAGTGTGACGAATTCGTCTTTGAATCCGGTGGGGAGACGACCATAGTTTCCGCGGTACTTAAGAGTATAATATGTATTAATTGATACTATAGTATTATAAATTTATAAAAATAGGTACCTTTATATTATAATCATATCCCATTGTGACAGTGCCCATGCGCAGGATTTCATAATGGGGAGTGTGTTTTGAAAAAAAAAAAATTAAAAATAGATACCTAGATCAATAGTTAGCAAATATTATTAAAACATATTTATATTTATTATTTGTAAGTACCTATATTAAAAGTGTTTTTTAACAATACTGTATAAAACAAATCATTGTTTTTAAATAAATTCACTCGACGAAGGACAGAAAAGAATTGATTCAGTGCTTGACTTATGACACTTATGTYCACGTTGATATCACGATTTATATTCAGTGATTCCAGTCCATTTAAGTGATCTTCGCCCATAAGATTATAAAATATTACATATACCTAGGTAATATATCAAAAAAGAGAAACACGATCGTTCATAGGTGGAGGGGGGTAGAACCCTCAATCACTCCCCTCTTGCGCACGAGCCAGCATTGTGATGATAACAGTTAGATATTATATATTGTCATAAACTATATATAGTATCATCATCATAATTCATAGTATGCATGCGTGGCGAAGGACGCAATCTAGAGGCGAGACCTCTGAGTTTTATATGAGATGCAAGGGCGCCCATCTATCAAAACCTAAGGGGACGAAAGTCATAAAATAAATAACTCGAAAACTAAGAATCAATCAAATTTATTTTATTAAATAATAAATCAAATATACATTTTAAATGTGAGCAAAAATAAGATTTTAAAGCATAAACTGTAAATTGCGTTTTTTCAAACCAAATTTTTCAACAACATTTTATAATTACAATATTTTTTTTAAGAGAGAGACATGTCACCCCCTTGCACTCCCTGGTGGGCGCCCTTGATGAGAAGGTGGGTTTAGTATCACCTAACCATAGCAGTATTTTGGTACTTTTAGGGGGGAGGGAGATGTGCAATTTTAAAATAGCTTCTGAATAATTTCCAGCTTGCCACGACACTAGGCATCTACATGTACCATGTTTACCTATACCTACTACCTATATGTACAACGATAATACATACCACAATATCCATGTTAATTAGTAATTACTATGTTAGCTAKGTAATCTATTTTAACCTAACTATATGATTTTTTTCAATATAATTACGACACATCAATAGTATCTAGTATAATATATATACATAAATCCTAATCCATAATATACTTAGTACCGTCAGTATCGATCGATTTATTAACGCGACTATTACGATTTATGTAAAACAGTTCAACATATTTTGCAAAAACAACAAGTGGAAACTAACGATCGTAGGGACCCTCAACAACTTTGGTCAGTTTGTCTCCTTACCTATATCCGGATTTTTGTCGGACAAGTACGTTTAACGAAATATTTAACTAATAAAAACTAAAAATAATTCATTGGTAATTTGAGTTAAGGTACGGCAGRAAAAACATAATCATCATTGGAAGCGTATTGGCAGCGACATGTGGTATTTTACGCGGGCTGTCCATAAATTACACCATGTTCATGGTGTTGGAATTCTTCGATGCTTTTTTTTCCGGCGGAGTTTATAGCGCCACTTTTATAATGGGTAAGAGATTCAGTAATATTCCGCTTGTAACGATTCTAATTGTTATTAAATACTTATTCATTTTTATTAGTGCTTTGCCTTGTAGAGCACTTGTAAAATATAACTAGGAGTCTACCTTTCTATGCTAATATATAGTAATATCTCATAATTTTAATTTATAAATATTTAAGAATATAATAATATAATAGATGTACATCTGATTATGCAACGAATTAATAAAGTTGTTATTTGCATATTGCGTATATTATGATGTATTGGAAGCGATTATCAAATTTACATTTATTAATTCAATTAAAATGCACTTTAACAATATTTACGCTTGGAAATCACATAATATCTATTACAGACACCCAATACACGTATTCAATATTATATTGGTGGTAATCCGATTGAATGTCTAAAAAAAAAAAATGTATCTAATAGGTATCGGGCTAGTTGGTAGCAGACACAGAGTTTTTGCGAGTACCGTTTTGAGTGTTTACTATCCAATCGGCGAGGCATTAGTCGGATTATTGTTTTGGTACGTTCAAGACTGGAGGAAATTCTTGATATTCGTAAACTTACCGGGATTGGGTTTCGCGTTGGCCTACACGTAAATAAATTTTTATTTAAATTACTTTCAAATTTTAATACTTTATAAATAAATACCTACGACCAAGCTTCTGCGTGCTCTAATATATTACTATAAATCGTGATGATTTGGCGTTTGTGCGCAGAATTATTCCAGAGTCTGTTCGATGGATGATCACCGCGGGAAAAATCAACGAGGCCATAGAAGAACTGAAATACATAGCGAATTACAACGGGAAAAAACTATCAGAAGAAAGTCTGAAAAAACTCGAAACGTTTAAATGCTYCAACGAAAAAGAGATGGAAATAGTAAATCTGCCGGTCCATCACGTTTGGGCATTTTTACCTGTTCGGTATTAAAAATCCACGCAACGTTTGAGCACTCAGTAGGTATCCCTGATAACATGCCACGGATTAAAATAAAATAAGTATATATCTTTTTTAAGACATCTCTCYTCTCTCTCAGTCTCTGGTYTCAATCCGTAGATTGGTTTGCAGGCATCTTTTATCCTTCTCTCTTATCCGCCTTCCTTTTCATTTCCACATATAAGTCACATCCTTGGTCCTTTATTATCTGTTGAATGAATTCTAATATTGGTCTACCCCTACAGTTTTTTCCTTCTACTCTTCCTTTTTAAGACAAAAGAACTAAGAAGTATTATATAGAAACCATATATGGCATATAATATATTATGCTGTGATAGGTGTACTATAGTAATATTTGCGATAATAATTCAAATACGTTAAAAATGTGTTAYGTCAAATTAATTAATTTTCTAATTATTTATAAGTTCATGTTCATAGCCACGCGATTTTCGATTACATTCAGTGACTTTTTTAGTGGGACGAGGAGGCTTGGGCCCCGGGTGGTAAATTTTTAGGAGCGCTAAATTTATACGTTTAAGTTTATACGCGATGATATCTTCATAATTACAGCTTTTTTAGTTTTAATTCATGTAATCATGTTCATGAATATAATATAATGATTTTTAACTTATAAACTTATATACAATAACTTACACACAAAAAAGGTATATACTTAACTTATAAATAATAAATTTTCATTTTCATTTTCATTTTTACAGATTTTCAACAACATATTTATTTATTATATAGACTACTATTATAGTGCTCAAACGTGTAAACGAGTTTACGACATCGGATAAAAATAGTGCCCAAACGTGTGCAACTATACAAATGCATTATATTATGATTATTTCCCGATTTCAGGAGCGGCCCTAGAATAGGTCAAATTTTACACCTATCCTAGGACCCGTGTACATTTTAAAGTCCAGAAGTTCGCCATCGTGAGAAATTAATATAATATGTAAAATCAGCGCTTGATAAAAGTATACCTATACTTATAATTTGCACACAACGAATTGATGAAAAAATGTGACTATAGGTATCAAAATGAATAATAATAATAATAACTAGAAATTATTAACAAATAAATAATAAAGAAAAACTTATGTTGTTTATGCCAAGAAATTCTGTAAAAAATTATCAACCAAAAAAATAAAATGAAAAAATAAGAAACTACCAAAGTCCAAATTTTATTATGTATATACCTAAAGTTGTCCCGCGAGGATTTACCCATTGTAATAATTAATATACTATAAATCTGTTTTTTTATTAGACTCCCATAGACAAGGGCCACATGTATTTTATATTTTGGTAAAAAAGTTGAAAAAATTGTTTTTAATTTTTGAAAAAAACAAAGATACCCATTTTATAGAGTTTATTTTGCTTAAAATGTTGACCTTTCAACATTTTATTTTCATCAATCTCATGATTTTAATAATTTTTTTAGTTATGGATAAAACGGCAAAAATCTGGTTTTTATCCGGGCGGCAAGTCCCCATCAACAGCTAACGGGTAATCYTCACGGGACACTGTATTTAAAAAAAATAGAATATTAGACATGAATACATGATTTTTTTTATTTAAACGGTAATTATGATTGACATTATAATATTAATATATATTATACATTTTTTAAATTTATTAAACACGAATATTTAAATAATATAAAAGTTTATGATTATACATCTACCTTATTAATACTTGGCTGAGTGGGATATAATATAAAACAAAAATAGAAATAAAAATATTTGTACCAATGTAGGTATTCATTAACAAACAGGGCACCAAAAAATTATTTTTTTTGTGCCCCGCTAAAACTAGGGCCGCTCCTACTTGACAATTCGATACTATGTTCGTCATATCTTATTGTTATGTTTAGGAGGAAATAGCAATGAGTACGACGAACAGCTGTTCTAGCCAGCAAGCGTTTAAACGTGCTATGACTTCAAAACTMATAATATTACGAGTGATCAACTGTTCGTTCTGTTGGTAAAGTACCTATACCTAAAATAAATTCCTATGATGTATTATTTTATTATTATTAATTATTAATAATTAGTACCTACCTAMATTTTAGGCAGGGACGTCATTTGGGGGTGGCAGGGTGTGTGGTTGCATCCCTTACTTTTAGAATGTTACAATTGGCCTGCGCCTTGCTGAAGCCTAAAATAATGCACGAGCCACGAATGCACAATTATTTATATGATTAAAATCAAATTGTAATAACCGGTCTATAAWGTATGGAAATAATTGAATGCAGGATAATATACATATACTTAGGTATGTATATCTATTTTTATATGGCCTGGGGAAATTTCAAAATGGCCTGCTTGAAACTTCGCACACCCGAAAGAAAACCTGAAATGACGCCCCTGATTTTAGGTTCGTGGAATATAGTGAAACGTCCATATAACGAATTTCCGTTTTTATTCAACGAAATATTCTTAAGAACTAAATATGTTTAATTTTATATTTAACGAATTCCTCTATAAAACATTTTTTTTTTTTTTACCACGAGACATCGAAATATGGAAGTTTCTCTCTATTATACGATTTTAATGATTCAAAATATGTTTAAAATAAAGGTATTGAGAAAACTAAACGCTAACATAATTTAKAAATATCCTCAATTATATTTTTAATAAAGAATYAAAATATTATTCCTCATCAGATAACTATCGTCTACCAAATACGTCTAGAACAGTCTGTAAATTTGAATTTACCAGTAACCCATAAATAATTTGGTAGAAAAATKGTTGTTTATGTTGRTATTTGCTTTTTTATGCTTAATATTAATAGAAGATCCGTTTTACAAAAATAAGTATCATCATAAAAAACATTTAAATGATCTGAAGCTAAATTATATTAAATAKGTRCATTATAATTAAAAAAACTTAAAATTGTAATTTATTTTGCATTATTTTATCTTTATTTTACATTTTGTATTTGTCATGTAAAACAGTATTGTATTATTTGTATTGAACTTGCTGCACCCACCACAAGCTATGTCTTTGGGGTGGCATCATAAATATAAATTATTTCTTAATTTTTGATGTACATAT